TTGTCTTGGAATGGTGTTTCTGTGTGTTTCAAGGTAAAGGGCAGTGTTAGATAACAAGCGCTGAAAGAAAAAGGCAAAAAAAGGGTTTGGCATCTCCAGCTCTTGCTCAACAACAAGAACCTGGTTTCCTTCTTCTCTTCCTTCTTCAAGCTTTACCAGCTACTCAATTAAGTCATGAAATTCTGTTCTGCCAACCTCACTAGCCAAAATGTCTGCAGCTGTTCCAGTGATATCAGCTCATTTGACCCTGATTTTGTAAAATTACCTTTGGACATTGTGAAGTCCCAGGTATATTATTTACTACTTAGCCACTTAGCCTTTTTTTTTTTTTTTTTTAAGTGATATAAAGCATTATGTCCTTTCTCCCTGCTTTTTATTTCTTGACATTTGAATCAAACAATATCGTATTCACAAACACAGATGCATTCATTGATCCAGCACATCACCAAACATGGGATGGGTGAGTGAGTGGATGCACTCTTCTTTTGCATCTGCTCTTTGAGATTAGTGAGGATAGTCCCATAATAATAAGACTATCCAAAGATATAAAAGGAGCTGATCCTTTGTCATGGATGCCTCTTCCAGAAAGAGGAGAATAGGACTCACTTGCTTATATTTGGATGACTAGAATATAGATGCCCATGCCTCACATGGTAAGCTTCATACTCCTTTAAAAGACAACAGAGAACAGTGGCTTGACAAGTGTCAAGTCATTTTAAGATGTATCTATACCAGGGGAGATGTGCCTATTGCTCTTCATCAGCTTTAGCCATGGTCAAGACTATCTTAGGTGAAGACATGAACACTGTGGACAGAGGTCCTTGTCCATACATAGGCATCTAGAACCATCTGAGATGCCTTGGGGCATCTAAGACACCCATGGCACTGGCAAGAAAAGGAGGCCTAAAGAAGATCCAGAACTTTCTAGAACAGCAGCTGGATGCTAGGTAATACAATTCTGAGCACTTAAAATGACATTACTTGCATATATTTAATCCTGTCACAGTTCTCCATTGGTAACAACAGTAACCTGGTCACAGGTTACACCTTGCTCAGAAGTACACACTACTTTGTAGATACTCAAATCTACAACTAACCAGAGATTAATACATTTAAAATCAGATGAGTTTGATCTCACCCTTACAAGTGTATCTGTATTCAAGTGACTAAGATCATGTCGATATGCATTGAAAGCCGTGGTTACAAGACTCAAAATTCTTCCATAGTCTAAAACTGAGGTACAATTTTTTCTTCCATGTGGGCAAAACAGGTGTAATGCTCTATTGACTACTTTGACCCATTATCCATGATGGATAATATTCACACTAATTTACTCATATTTGTTCTGAATTTAAAAGACCATAACAGTTAATCCCATTTTGGGTACCATTGCAAGTAGTTAATTACATGCTGGATGTGAAAATATTCTGTAATACAATTACGTATTGTTTAAGGCAAACATACAAGTCAAATCCCCTTGACTGAACATGGACTGGATTAGCTAACTCATCGTTACCAAAACCCCACAAAATCTTGACAAGTATTGCTTTCATCTATTCACTTACCACACAGTCCACGGTTGCACGTGTGCATACAGTGTATATAGGGGATTCCTTTTGGTAAGGTGTATGGGTAGAGCCTGTTAAATTTCCTCTGAGATTTTCAAATGACCTAGCATGAAACAAAATATTTTCTTCGTATTTATTCCAAAGAAGACAGGAAACCTTACTCTCTGGTGCTGCAACTGCTGCCCAGAGGGGGAAATATTTAGCACCTGCAGAGGCACTGCTTGCTTCTGTGTTTAAGTGCATGGCATGACTGGCTGACTGCAGCAGAATGACCCTGAGCAAGCAACCATTGGCTTTTGGTGGCAGTTCTGGAGCTATCTGGAATTTCAGTGCTGATTTAATCAGACTTTGAGTGGCAGCTGAAGGCTGTTGTGATATCTAGTATTTATCTAATTTTCAGGAAAGTGGATTACAACTTTTAAAGGTTCTAGGACTGGCAGATAAACACTGGTTACACTTATTTCCCCAGCCTTATATGTTATATGAAGAACTTAACAGTAGTGAAATTTAATGGGTTCTGAAATAGGGCACATGTACTAGTAGCCATAATTTTCAGTATTTACCTGTTTTAAAGTAATAAGAGGTTGGCACAGCATTGGTAGATACTACTGCCATTTGGCAGTGCTACAAAGCAAAGGGTGGGTTCTCCCAGTGTAGCATAATTTTATAGCTAAGTAGTACCTGGGATTCTTATCCCACCACTGTCCTGGATGTTGTTTTCCAATTAAATTTAAAGTTTTAGGTTTCATCAAACCATGCCTGTAAAGAGGAAGATCATGAGGTGTGTGTACTTGCAAAACAGGGATTTTTACCATAGGAAAAGTACAGACTGTACCAAGTAGGAAAGTTTTCTTGCTCTTGTCAAGGAAAAAAACATTAATCCATTCAATCATCTCCAGAATTAAAGAGAATGACATATAAATGGGACAAAGCAAGTGCTTCAAAATAACATAAATGGAAACCCCTCAAATATCCGTATTAACAATAAGCTGTTTCTACTTGCGTGCCTACATGTACATTAAACACATAAATCCAACTTCCATTTATACCAAGGTTTCTTTGATCTGCTTTGACAGCCAAAAGGGGACTTAGAATGTGAGCAAATGTATTGCAACAATCTTATGACACTTGTTTGCATTGCAAAGACTTTGTGAATATGAGAATCTGACTCTGTATTTTAGGGTGATTCACCTGTAGAGTTTTTTGTATGAACCACAATAAACCTTGACCCTTTCCTGAATTCTCTTACCAATGCTCAGAGTCTTATGAGGTAGACTACATTATTTTGAAAGGAAGGTTTTTCTTCATCTTTTCCTATTCTTCCTTTGTCTTAGTGTCCCATTTCTACTTCTCCTAAGGACAGCTAAAATTCTTGCTGATAGTTGATGAAGAAAATTAACTTTAATAATTTATTGGTGCCATCAGATTCAGATTTCCATGTTCCTAGTGTAGATTTTACCACCTTGGGTAGCTTACTACTACTTTGGAGTACGTGTTCCAGTGCATCAGATAGTTCAGAAACCTTGGGCTTTTGGAAACAACTTGGTTATACTTCTGCCAAAACCAACCAACCAAACAAAACCACCAAACTTTCCTTTTGCACTGTATTCCAGAATTAGGAATGTAAGGTAAAGGTTGTTTGTTTAAGTTTTAGCATTCTTTACAGCTTCCTCATTTCACACATTAAAGAAATAAGGGATAAGGCACACAATTAATGAAATAAAATACTGAAGGTGGTTTGTCTGCTTTGGTGTCTTTCACTAAAGTTGAATATACAAGCTGATATTTTTAATACCATTTACTGAGAACTATTTCTAAACTCCTAGGGCCTCTTTAATTTATCAGCCTAGAGTACACAAGTGGTATAACTGTCTGCAAAACAAGTGCTTAAAATTACTTATTTTTCTCATGAACATTGTTTTCTGAATCTCTAAAAGCTGGCCATGTAAGCAGGTTTCTCCCTAAGAAATTAGATCTCTAAATATATGTATCTAATTTTTTAAAGGAAACTTGTTCTCACTTGTTTACTGTATCAAATGCCTCTTGAGATATAATGATAAACTTTTACCTTTAGCTAACTGTTTGAATGTAGTTAATAAATACTGATCTAAAACCATGTGCCACTGTTACTTGTCAAGCTGGTTGTTGATTTCAACTCAGTAGTACTTGAAAAACTGCCTACTGAATAAAGAAAACTTCCATACTAACACAATTTTTCCTGCATTACTGTCTAATTAAAGCTTTGTCTGCACTGGCAGCTGGGGACTTTAGGCAATCTAATGCCCATATGCACTAACCATTTACATTGTAAATCTTTTGGCTAGGTCTTAAGTGACAGTCTTGCCTGATGCTGAAAAAAATGTTGGCATGAGGCTGATGTGACCCCTTCATACCATGTGCTTTGAAATTATCTGGGCACACAATCTGTAAGCACTAGAAATTGATCAGCTGCAATCCCACAATCCACCAGTTTTAACTTCCTGCAGTTCTTGCAAATCCTTTCTTTTCTTTTTGCCACCAGTAAGTACAGAGAATCTCAGAAAAAAGGCAGACAATTCTCCATCAATTACTGAAAGAGTTCAATTTTTTATGGTATAGGGTAATCTGTGATTCATTTTAGCCCTCAGACAGGTGATATGAAGCATCAAGTACATGATCTTTTTTGGGGGGTGGGAGTGTTAAGTGCATTGTGAACAATTCAAGATTGGTCATAAATATTGGAGGTGATTTCCCATGTGCAACATCATGAAGACCATGCTTCAAGGTGTTTGGAGCTGAGACATAACATTTAGTAGGATAAGCTAAAATTTACAGGGCAAACATGATACACCTTTTATGCATGGATTTTTTGAGTCTTTGTTCTTGTGAAGCTCTTGCTTTCATTACACAAGTGCTTAATAATAAATTGAGCTTTTGACTAATATGCATGATCAATACATATTGAAGAAAAGTATTCCCAAGACTAATAATGCATAAAGTACAAGGAATTCTGGATTATTTTTTTCTGATAGCTCAAAAATCAACCTATTTTTATTGATTCTGAAACAAGGCATTTTTTTCCATCCTTGGCATTTGTTCAGGGGCTAACAATAGGTTCAACCCTTATTTTCTGTGTTTGCCTCCTTTTAATTTTTTTTTTTTTCCTCCAGATGTTCTTCATTTCTCAGTGTCATCAGTACTAGTTAGTCTTCTGATTAAAAGGACAGATGACAATTTTTAATATCTGCCTTCATGGTCTCTTCACAACTTAGTGCATAGATATGTTACAGACAGCCTAAAACCTTCTTAAATTAGAACTAGGTCTTAGATTTTTGCATAGTTTCCCTGTTGCAAAGCAGAAATACATGTAAATGTCACTGGAATAACTCTTAGTAACTGTGCATGCTTGTAATTATTTATTTATTTATTTATTTTACTTATTTCCTTTTCTGTTTTATCTTAGAATTTCCCTACAAGAACAGGGAGGAACAAAAGTGGAGTTTTGGATTCTGCTCCCTTAAATGGTTGTTTATTCTATTATACAGTCATTGGAAGAAAGGCAGAAATAGTCTTGGTAGCAGAGACCAGAATCCCTAAATCTTCCTTCATATGAATATTCTGCAGCTGGCTTTGACTGATGTCTGCTTCATCTGCTTCAGATCCCCCAAATCTTCCATTCTTTCACTTCTTCAGAGAAGAGTTGAAAAGCCTGTTTAACCATGATAGATTACACCTTGTGAGAAGGTTTCCAACTTACCCAGCAAGGATACAAGCTGGGAATGTCATATCCCCATTCCTGGGTGGTCTGTCATGACTTGGCTGAACCCTGAATTGCACTGAGCTCCAAGAGGAGTGATCCATTTTACCTCAACTCCCTTCACTCACACTGAAGGAAGTACTTACATTAAATGAGTGGCATTTATATTAAATGAACGTAGTATAAGCAGACTGGATCTGCCTCTGCAGAGGCTTTCCTTATGCCAAAGGGTGCAAAGAATTTATCTCCCTGCAGTCCAGATTCCGCCCAATTTTAAGAGTTGAGATCATTGTTATTGCTTTATAGTAAAATAAAATACAATAAAAATGAGAAGCTGAGTAATTTGTTTTGCATGACTTGGTGGTCTGGAAGTTGCAGTTCCTGTTGCACCTGGTGACGAAGATGAGGTGTCAAGACATTTCAGTGAAAATGGTTGCAATCTTTTAATTGTCCCCACCAGAAGATCAATAAAAATTGACTCTGCAAGGCTTCTGGTATTAAAGCATTTGAAAACCACTGTTCCAGGAATACATGCAACATCTTTAACAAATGTGTCATCAGCATTTTGCTAGCTGTTATTCATCATAGTAGGTCAATGTGTTTGCCAGTGACCTCACCTTGTTATTCTTGCAAGTCAATAGACTAAGCAGCATAAACTGCATCAGAATCCTAAAATGCAATTAGAGCTCTATTTACATTTTCAGAACTTATGTAAAATAAGTTTTTTTTTTTTTTTTTTTTTTTTTTTTTACTTATTTTTCTTATTTTACTTATGTAAAATAAGTTCTGAAATATAAAAATAAGTTCTGAAAATAAGTTCTGAAAGGGTTTCTAAGAAGTTCAAAGGGTTTCTAAGTTCAAAGGGTTTCTAAAAAACCTGCAGCTTTCTGTGGGTACCTCAACTTTTGAACTCATACCTGTCCAAGGCAGCCAGAAGCCAGCAACTGTTCAGATGAACACAACTGGTAGACTCATCTCTGAAAAACAAAAAACAATTTTGAATTCCCTGAATACGTTTAATCATCTTGAAGGTTCCTGTAAAACTATCTTGCAAAAGACGTAATTGAAGGATCAAAGGGTGTGACTTTACTGAATGACTAAAATGCATGCAAATATAGGAAGGGATTGTCTTAATCTTGACAGCGAAGGTTGGCTGTGGGTATTCATTTTGAAATGCTCCAGACAAAGATACCATTTGACTGACAAGAGTTGAACACAAAATCTGATTTTCACCCCTGTAAGAAAAGTTAAAATACATACTGGAGAAGTCTGCTCGGTAAGTGTTTTGGCCCAGCTGCACATGAATCCCATACTATGGAATTACATGACATTTTCCATCAACTCCAGCTTTTGCAACTTTCTAGTTAGTGAGTGTCATCCTCTATATTTATATTTGTACATTATATAAGGAAAGAGCATGATCCCAGAAAGTGCAGTGCAGTGCACTGCTTGCTTAAACTGTTAGCACGGGCTATATCTGGAGTTCAGACAGATAAGCCTTGTCTAAACAATTCCAGTGCATAACTCAGGAGTTACCATAGGCCAAGGACTGTACCCCACACATAGTTTGGGATCCATCCACGCTGTGTGGAGTGTAACAGCTGTAGCTGGGCCCAGTGATTTGGCCTTAAGGTCAGAAGACAGGCCTGGCAACATTTACATCACTTATATAGATATAGCCTCGGTTATAGCACTGATGGACTGTATGTTGTAGCTTATGTAGATAAAGTAAGATACCTCGCTTTACAGTGTAAAAACTTTGGGCATGGAAAACTCCTTTGATGATTTCTGGATATGTTGGCTTTACTGGGAATGAAGTAGTCAGGTGATAACCCACTGCTTTGGGCTTATGTTACATACACTATACAGTGTGTGTACACAAAAATATTCCTTCCTTCTCCTAACTGCAATGTGTCATGGTAGCAGCTTGTCTGTAGGCAGAGTGGATTGCAGACTAGGCAATCGTAACTTAGCTTGCTATCTTTTTTTTTTTTTTTTTTTTTTTTTTTTTTTCTCCAGAGGCATCCATGTTCTGTGCACCAATTAGACAGTGGACTTGGACTAGTGGGGGAGGATATATAGAGGTTATTAGCAGTTTCTAGTTCTAGTTAATAGTTCTTGATGTATTTACAAGCCACAGGTTGAATACTACTACTACAAAACATCCCCAAAAGTTTTACTTTTACTACCTAAGTAAAAAGTAAAAAGTTTTTACTTTTTTTAATTTTACTACCTAAGGTCATATTTACTACTGATTTTACTATGGTGAAACACGAGGAAAGCCTCAAGTTGACAATTAAATTCAGTGTTTGTTTATAGTTTGCTACCAGTTATGCAACAACAAAAGACCAGTACAATTTCCTTGAGCAACTGCTGTCTCACAACATGAACTGTCACAATCTGAGAGTCCAAATACCCTGTGTGACTCCCAGACTTGGCATCCATAACTAGCTCTTGCTCCTCACCAGGCTAAAGGTCAGTTCTTGCTGTAGAATAAGGACAAGTCATCAGCCATCACACACTGTGATACCTTAGGCTGATATATTCTTACTGACAAAAAAAGTACAGAAAATTTCTGTGTATCATGTGGAGAGGATCCTCTTCTCACTGGGCCATGAATATGAGCTGAATGTAGGTCTGACTGAAGGAGACACAGCAGATCTGCAACATTACAGTAGATACTCGTTCACAACTGTCAGATAGCATTTTCAAGCACTTCTTATAGTTTGCTTTTATTTACTCCATTTATTATTATTATTATTTTAACAAAGAAACCAAAGCCATATTTATAGTTCTGCAAAGAACTGAAATGTGTGCTCTAGATCACCCTCATTCAGGAAAAGGTGGGAAAATTGTTACTTTTAACATTTTTCTCACACTTTTCTGATCATAAAGGGATATTAATGCATGTGTTTTCTCAGGAATTTTTTAATGATGTTTTGAATATGAATACTTTTTCAAAGAAGGTCTAATCATTATTAAAGGGACGACTGCTTACATAGGAGGAACCAGAGCTATCTTGATGTCCAAATCATGGGATAAACAGCACACTATACAAACTGTCTCAGTCCTACATCAGAAACAGTCCTATTGCACAAACTCCTATAGAAGGAGTGGTGGAATGCTAAAATAAATATTTTGGTGGGTCATTCAACCTTTCTGCTGTGTATTTTGTATTTTTTTTTATCAGAGAACTGAAAGATTCAAAACACTCAGCACTCACAGAATTAAAGCCTCTGGCTAAGGATGCAAAATTGAGGCACATTTTGAACTGAAAAACCACATCATTGTCACCTTTGCTCATATATTGCTGGGAACTGCAATCTTATATAAACATAAGGATAAACTAATTTGTACAGAGATGTGATTGTGAAGCTTCTGAGCTTAGCATCTTCAACTGTGTATGTGGAACAGAAAAAGGGCTTGATGTATATTTAGATTTTGGTGATTCTGCAGTTACAGATTATTCAAAATAGCCAAGATAATTGAATGTTACTACGTCACTACCTAATATATTGAAGTAGTATAAGAGAAGTTTGTAACATTCTCTCACTGGGAGCTGATACAGGAAAAAAAGACCTTGCCATAATTTTGACAAGTAAAAAAATATTTTCATTATAATGTTCATTATATATATATATATATATATATTTAATGAAAGGAGTGAAAATTCTTCATACTCTGTAGGAAAACTGTAGAAATAACTGGTGTCATTCATGACACTTGTCTTTCCTTTTACCTGTTTTGACATTATATCTGAAGCAGTATTGGAAAACATCCAAGCTGAGAAACCCATTCTGTCTTTGTCAATCATATTTCCAAGTGGTATAAGCAATATTTAGTTTTTACCTGGCTGTTACTGTAGAAAACGGTAGCACTCAATGTGAGAAATACAGTCAGAATATGAAGTTATCTGTGGTTTAATTTACTTGCTGATATTACAAGAAATTAGCATGGCCGTAATGGTACTGGAGGCTTTAGGACTTGAAAAGTCTCATGTATATTCTGAAGGCATTCTTTGCAATAGGTATTCTTCCACATTTTCGTCTATACCACACCTGTTGCAAGTTCTAGCTAATCCCTGCTATTTACTTAGGCACTGCCTGCCAATTAAAATCAAATATACACCTACAATCAGCAGTCATGATCAGCTCAGCCTGGCTTAACACTGAATGGCTCCCAGCATCTCCAAAGGGAGTGTCATATTTAAATAATCCTAATGTTTAATGTCTATTTTAGTGGACAAATAGAAATGGATTAAAAGTAGCATTACCTTTATCTTTTACGGGATTAAAAGTCAATGCAACCTTAAATCGTCCTTGACAAACAAATTCTACATATGAAGTTTGAAGAACAAACAATAAGGATCCACTTCTTGATTTTGGGGCCCTTCTGTGCTAATCATTCACATTATGACAGATTTGTGTAGCTTTGGTATATGTGAAAGTATAGCTAAAGAATACGAGCCCTAAAAGTCACTCTGCCAACTGGGGTGCACAGTTTACCAGCTGTGCTTTGTGTACTATCTATCTTTGTATTTTCTCCTATACTACATGCACGTTGGGAGGGCAGTTTTTTTTGTCATGTTGACTGCTTACCAGCTAAAGACATTCTCATAGTATGACTGTTCCCAGATAGCTTTAAGGATTTCACTTGCATTCTCCAGAGTTTACATCTCAACAAGACTTTCAGGCAATTTGTTAGCCTCAGTAAAATTTAATACAGTTTTTCAAATGACAGCTGATAGAACTTTAAATGCTCATGGTCTGGCACCATCTGAAAAGCAGGATGGAAAAGAAGAAATAAGAAAAGAAGAACTAAGCTGAGAACAGCTGATCTGAAAAAAGGTAGAAATATTAAGCTGTTAGGCTGTCTGAATGAAAAGACATCTGATAGTTGTATACTGTAGGAGGATATTAGTGAGAAAAAAAATACATTACCTTTTAGGACATCAAGTCAGCAGAAAAATTCTGGGGAGCACTAGAAGTAAGAGTTCCAGAAACAACAGGAACATACTCTCTGCAAGGAAGATAATGGTAGCAAAAATCAGTAGCTGAACTTGAGAGAACTTTATAAGTAAAAACATGCAATTTTTAATGCTGAAACAGGCTTTGTTCTTTTCCTCACGTGACTGGCATTTGTTTAAGTTCATGCATTTTTTGATTTGGTGAACTATTTGAGTTGATTTAGGTAAATCAAAAGAAGAACAATGTATACAGCAGCTTACTAATAGCAATCACATGGTAGAAGTTTCAATCTGAACAATTTGAAAATGTTCAGTGATACACACAAAAAAAGATACACAGTATCAGCCTTTTTTTCAATATAATCAGATTATATTTCCTTCTGAAATACTAAAAATAAACTTGATGAGTTTGATTTCTTATACAAATAAGGTGATTTTTTTTTTAATTTATTTTATGTATTTTTTTAGAAATAGAAGTAATTTCTCATGTGGCTCATATTAACTGGACTTTTATCAGTAGTTTTATAAGAACTCTGCTGGATAGTAACAAAGTTACAGCCATAGAATGGTTTGAGATTGATCAACCTCATGATTTTGGTGACTGTGGGTTAATCTCTTTAATGAGATCTTATTGTAGAAGAAAGAGGTCTTATACAGTAAAAAAAAAAAGTGCTACATCATCCAGAGAACAAGTAAATGTGAAGTCAATAACATCCTGAAGTGACAAAGGTTATCCTGTATTCAATCCATGAAAAATATTTCTAGAAAAATATGTTAATATTCAACCATGTATAAACAACATTGTGTTTAGCAACATTCACCTTTATTGGTATCTTTATAGAATGGACATAGAAAGGCACTGCCATTACTATGTCACTTTGTTTTGTCTTCATTTGTTGTGTTTAGAAGTGGCGATGCTGAAAATCAGGTTTATGGACTAAAACAGTACCTCAAAAGCATTGAGCAGTTTAGACACACAGGTCCATAGTGGAAGATGGAATTACATGAAGCTGCAAGAGTGTCGTAGACTATACAGCTTGTCATGAGCTGAAAGCAAGTCTAGAAGACCACAGCAATCCCATTGGGACACTAGATCTAGGAATTTTTTTTTTTTTTTTTAAAACTGCACTGTAATACTTAGCAAAAAAGGGTAATTTACAGTTTTGTTAAGGTAGACTGTGATAGCTTGACTTTTGAATTTTTTGGACCACAATTTCAAAGCCATGTTAGAGTAAGGCAGCACTACCTTACCCAAATACTAGAACGTTCAAAACTTAGTCAAAGGCTTGTAGGTGGATCACATGCTCTCTGCTTGTTTAGTTCAATGGAGCTGCATGATTTACATATACTTTCTCTTGATTGTAAACAGGGGACTACTTTGGAAGTAATAAATTTGCAGTAGATAGTACTGAAATGATAAGACTA